GTTGGAAGTCTGATGACATTTTTCTGTATAGTAATTTATTGAGGAAGTGATCACCAGTAAATAATATAGTTAATCAGGAACCATAAATGTAAATAATAGATTTACTGCGGAAAGGCGGGACCGCACGAAAAGTGGCAAAAAATTGTGGATTTTGCTACTTGAAAATGTTAAGACCGAGAAAAAATGTAGCATAAAGTGTTCCCAAGGACAAAGGAAGTCTGTCAAAAAATATTACGGTACGATATCTTGTGAACTTAGCAGCAAGTAGCGATGCAGCCACTATTACAGAAGCGCTTAAGGTATTAAACTTTAATGCAAGTCAATAAATAGCGAGGCGAAGAATTGCCAAATTGAGCGCAAAGGCATCATAAAGAAGAAAAAAGCAAATTTGATCATAATACATGTGCGAGTGTGGCAGCATTTCGCTGCATCGCACGAAAACCGAACCGTTGCCTATTGGGTTATGTTAGGCCGTTCAGAAGGCAATAAAAAACATATTTTTAAGTTTCAATTGAAGGTTATTTGGTCTGACAAAACTAAATTTATCGCTTTCAATCAGATGGCCGGGCATGGTATTGGGTCAAAGATCCAAATTAAGTCCATGCGCAGCATGCAAAGCAAACTGTGAATAACAGTGGTCGGTCAAGAATAGTTTGGGGTTGTATTTCAAAAATTTTCTTGGTCTGTTAGTACACATTATGCATAAGGACCAGTATCTGTTCATATTTCAACAAAATGTGCAAGATGTAGTCGAAAAAATGAGAGTTTCTGCTGAAAAATCACGCAAAACACACTGCACATATTCGCAAAGACTGGATACAAAAGCAAAAATTTGCTAATTTCAAATGACCTCCACAATCCGCGGACATGAATCTCTTTGAGAATTTGCGAAAACAACTAAAAGCACAGCTTAATAAGTATCCAAGTCCGTAAAATCGAGTACATGAGCAATGAAAGCAAACTAAGGATATACCTCCAGAATTTTTACAGAGATACAAATAAGGTATGCCAAATCGTATCCAGGGCTGAAACAAGCAAAAGAGTACTGAACATTGTGTTAGTAGTTCTTTTTTTCGTGAAAATTGTTATAAAGTTCTTAAAAATGTATGAGTGCAAAACTGTAACATCTGCTTTAATTTACATTTTTGGCTGCTGGTTTTTTTATTGTTGTTGTATTGACTTCAAATCGTTAAGAGAGCGGGAGTAGGGATGTACCAACAAGAATATATAACAAAAGTATGAAAGTCGTTAGAACTTGGAAAGATAGCGATGGCTGAAGTAAAAAGTGTTACACCATGTTACAGTTTTGCCCGTCACTGTATACATATACATATGTCCTTCAACAACAGGCCACAAATAAATTTTTCACCAAGGTATACAGCATAACTGCTACAAGTAGCAAACTATTTTGTGCTTACTTGTTTTTTGTTTCTGCGGCACAAACGATTATAATATCTTCGTTACTTACTTTTCTCTGTAAAGACAAAATACATGCATATGTACATACATACATACATACATATATAACTATGCATGTTATGTATGTACATACATATCTAACTATAAAAAATAGTTGCGTTCGACAAGTCAAAAATTTGTAATAGTTTTCCCAAATTTTTACTGTATGGCGTTCGATAACAACAAAAAATTATCCAACACACAAAAATTGAGAGAGCAAGCGTTCATTTTGATGCAAGAGAAGCGTTCATTTTGTACTGGTAAAATTTTAGTCAGCAAAAGTTGCGATCCCGTACGAGTCCGGACTAGTCAGAAATAGTCAGAATCAGTCAGATTTTACTGGAAATCGATCCCGTACTCGGTTCTCTGACTATTGAGAGGACAAAAAAGGGAGTAAATACGGTTCTCTCTCTGTCAGAAGTTACCAGTTTTAGTCCGAGAATTTTTTGCTGGTAAATTCTGGTAAATGTGTCAAACGATCAGCTGTAGTGTGTTTGGCAACCAAATTGTAAACAAAAGAAAAGTGCACTCTGCTAATTCATGTTGAAAAGTATTTAATTACTTGTTTAAGTGGATTNCTTTTTTGCTTTTTCTTCTATTTGGGAGAGAATTTTCGCTTACTCTCTTGATTTTGATTGTTGGCTGGTGTTGGCTACTTTTGTTATCGAACGCAACTAATATTTCATTCCATAATCTATGCCAAGGCGAATTAATATAAGGTGATAGCAGGAGTACAAAAACAAAAAATTACATGTATTTTGTTTTTGCTTTGGCGGCATAAACTGTCAAAATCTGTAAGTGTGTGTAGAAATTCAAACAAAATTTTTCAATTTGATATCAGTAGCCCGTTTCTGTAACTTTTCTCTACCGATTATTTCTCTACTGGTAGAGAAAATACGTCACTCTCACCTACTAATTAGCAGTAGAGAACAGGGCGACGAATTCATATCTCAATTCGCACATACATATGTACATACAATCATTAACATACTTTCGTACATAATCTATTGACATACATTCCTATATTTCTATGCACAAAAATGCATGTGTTTTATAGTACACTCGGAGCGCTCGCTCGTCGCTCACTCGTCTTACCTAGCAGAGCGAGTAAGCAGACAGCTACTCGCCTCGCACCGCGAGCGAGGCTACACACAACAGCCTCGCTCGTTTAATAGGAGCGCGAGGAAACAAGCAGCGCTCGCTCGTTTGCCGAGCAAGCCAAACTTCTCGTGCCTCGCCTCATTGCTGCTACGAGTACGAGCTGCGAGCGCCTGCGAGGCATTGAGTTGGAGTTTGCTCGCTCGCTCGCTCGAACTCAGAGTTTTTGCCTACCCTGGATGTGCGTCCATAAGAACACAAATGGCATTATTTGCCTTTGCGTACGTTCACGCTCGCATTGAACTGTATAGCAGGCTTTAGCTGAAACGGACAACGTCGACGGATGAACCGACCCGAGCGGAGTTTAGTAGCCGCTACAACAACGAAATAGGCTAGAAAAGGCAAAATAAAATATCGAAATAGGCAGGAAGGGGCACTAGAAATAGCAATTGTTTCGAATCAACTGCCTGCCGAATGTCAATTTGTAAGCAAATCGGACCATAAATACAATTTTTCCGAATAGATCGGTCCCTGGTCCACTTCCCGGAGAAAAAGGATCCTATATGCCAATCTAGGCAAAAAGCTACCTACGTACCAAATTTTAATCAAATCGGACCATAAATACAATTTTTCCGAATAGATCGGTCCCTGGTCCACTTCCCGGAGAAAAAGGATCCTATATGCCAATCTAGGCAAAAAGCTACCTACGTACCAAATTTTAATCAAATCGGACCATAAATACGATTTTTTCGAATAGACCAGTCCCTGGTCCATTTCCCGGAAAAAAGGATCATATTTGCTAATCTAGACAAAAAGCTACCTACGTACTATATTTTAAGCAAATCAGACCATAATAAGATTTTTTCGAATACCTCGGCTCCTGGTCCACCTACCGGAAAAAAGTAATTTTTTTTTGCCTATGACATGTTGGTGGCTGAAAGCTATTTATATACAAAATTTCATGAAAATCGGACCAGCCGTTCACGAGATTACCTGTTACAAAAAAGGGGCTTCTCTTTATATAGTTAAGTATAGGTTAGTATAGATGTCACTCATTTTATAATGACCAAAATGTACTCAACAAAATGTGATTGAATTTGACATTGCTCTCAGAAGAACCATCCTATAGTCAAATTTGAAAAAAATGTATGAATTTTGAATCGCTTGTTTATATTTTTTGGCATAATAGCACCTTAAAAGAGAGCCTACCTCAACCACCTGAGGGAGTCTCGATTGTCTCTTATGCCGACGATTGCTCGATCATGGCGACTGGGAATGGAATTGATGACCTGTGTTCGAAAGTAAACGGGTATCTCTCCGAACTTTCTCGCTTCTTCACTGCAAAGTGTCTAGCCCTCTCCCCTACGAAATCCTCCGCGACCCTGTTCACAACCTGGACGAAGGAGGTCAGGCTACCGCTGGGGATTCACGTCGATGACACACCAATTCCGACGGTGAATAACCCCAAAATACTCGGAGTAACATTCGACAGCCTGCTCTCCTTCTCTGCGCACTCAACCGCTATTGTCAATAAAGTACAGAGCCGCAACAAGGTCCTCAAGTCGCTAGCCGGCAGTACTTGGGGCAAAGACAAAGAAACGTTGCTGGCAACATACAAGGCAATAGGCCGGCCGGTTTTGAACTACGCAGCGCCAGTGTGGTCGCCAGGGACTAGTAGGACGCAGTGGACGAAGCTACAGACTGTACAGAACACCGCACTCAGGACAGCGACGGGATGCCTCTTGATGTCGCCTGAACACCACCTGCACGGCGAGGCGCAAATGCTCCCCGTAAAGGAGCACAATATAATGCTCTGCAAGCAGTTCCTGATCGGGAGCCACAGAAGTGGCCACCCAAGCAGACAGCTGCTTGCAGAGGAGCCCTCGCCTAGGCACGTCAGGAGGCATCTATATGAACTGACAGACGAAGTCCAGAGGTTCATCAAGCAACCTCTGGACCCGACAGCTTACCGACAGGCCCTGAACGGTATTCACAGGGACTCAGTCTCGAGTTATGTAGACTCTAGACCTGTGAATGCCGTTCTAGGCATACCACCCCCGGACATAGACGAGACGGAGCTTCATCTGCCTCGGGAGACTCGCACAACACTTGCACAACTGCGCTCCGGCTACTGCAGCCGGTTAAACACCTACCTGAGTAGGTTGAATGAGGATGTGCCGAATGAGTGTCCGGCATGCGGAGAGACCCCACATGACTCGAAACATCTCTTCGCATGCCCGGAAAACCCGACAACCCTAACGGCCTTGTCCCTGTGGACAAACCCCACAGAAGCTGCCCGCTTCCTAGGGTTGCCGTTAGTGGAACTTGACGACAACGACTGAGATACCAACCGTCCTGGGCGGGGTTGTTGTAGCCGCTACAACAACAACAACAACAGAGCCTACCTGAGTTGTCAATCACACCTTGTTTAATACACCTCAAAATGGGTTTGTCGAATTAACGTACCTTAAGTAACTGATTACATTTAATATGACTTCGTTAACGAAAAATTATAAATTTAATTTTCCAGGAAAGAAACAAAATCTGTTAATTTTAAAAGCAAATCTTCAGAACTAGCATTTAATTTTGTCATAGGCTCGGAATTTTTTGGAATAATCACAGCCTTTTGGCCATCATTTTCGTACTTCCACTCCATCGCAACGCAAACTCGTTTTAAATCCTGTTGAGGAAGCCGAGTTAGTTGGATCAACTCTTGCTCGAAAATAGATATATAAGCTTGGCCAACTAATGTTAATACATCCTGACGCACTCGTTCTGAAATACATTTAATTTAGAAATATAAAATTCTTCATTGAAAATGTGAAAAAATAATACCAATAAGATCGTCCATTATAAGTTTGATATTAATCGACCAAGGATAATCCACTTGTTTGAAGAAGTCGGTTGGATTGTTCACGATGAGTGTAGACATAACTACATTCAGCCTTTGCAATTCGTTGCTGTCTTTTTTTAGTGCTTGTGGTATTCTTTTCCATAAAAATTTTGCATCGGCTCTAAAAATGTAAGCTCGTTAATAATTTTTTTAACAAAAAATACGAAAGCATTACAATTTATCCTGAAAAAGGTAAACTGCAAGGAGCTGTGTGTATGATTCCGCATCGATGTTTGTCTGTTGAAAAATAGTTGCAATAAAGAATGTATGTACAGTGACGAGCAAAACTGTAACATGGAGTAACACTTTTTATTTCAGCTGTCGCTATCTTTCCAAGTTCTAACGACATTCATACGGTTGTTGTATATTTTTATTGGTACATCTTTGCTTCCTCTGTCATAACGATTTGAAGTCAATTCAACAACATTAACAAAACCAGCAGACAAAAATGTAAATTAAGGCATATGTTACAGTTTTGCACTCATATATTTTTAATAACTTTTTGACAATTTTCACAAAAAAAAAGAATTATTAACACAATGTTCAGTATGCTTTTGCTTTATTTAGTTCCTGGTTGCAATTTGGCATACCTAATGTGTATGTCTGTAAAAATTCTGGAGGTATAGCCTCCCATATATCCTTGGTGTGCTTTCACCGCTCATGTACTCCATTGGACGGACTTGGATACTTAGTAAGATGCGCTTTTAGTTGATTTCGCAAATTCTCGATGAGATTCATGTCCTCGGATTGTGGAGGTCATTTCAAATTAGCAAATTTCTGCTTTTGTTCCAGTCTTTGCGAACATGTGCAGTGTGTTTTGGTTGCTTTTTCAGCAGAAACTCTAATTTTTTCGACTACATCTTGCAAATTTTGTTAAAATATGAACAGATACTGTTCCTTACGCATAATGCGTACAAACGGATCAACAACATTTTTGAAATACAACCCCAAACTATTATTGACCGACCACTGTGATTCACAGTTTGCCTTACATGATGCGCTTAGGCTTAATTTGGGCCTTTGATCCAATACCATGCCCGGCCATCTGATTGAAAGCTATTAATTTAGTCTTGTCAGACCAAATAACCCTCAATTAAATCTTAAAAATGTGTTTTTTATTGCATTCTGTAAGGCCTAACATATCCCAATAGGCAACGGTCCGGTTTTCGTGCGATGCAGCAAAACGCTGCCACACTCGCACATGTATTTTGATCAAATTTGCTTTTTTCTTCTTTTATGATCCATTTTGCTCAATTTGGCAATTTTTCGCCTCACTATCTACTGATTTGCATTCAATTTTAATACCTTAAGCGCTTCTGTAGTAGTGCCTGCAGCGCTACTTGCTACTAAGTTCACAAGATATCGGACTGTAATATATTTTGACAGACTTTCTTTGTCCTTAGTAACACTTTAGGCTATATTTTTTCTCAGTCTTAACATTTTCATGTGGCAAACTCCACAATTTTTTGCCACTTTCCCTGCGGTCCCGCCTTTTCGCAGTAAATCTATTATTTACATTTATGTTTCCTGATTAACCATATTATTTATTGGTGATCACTTCTTGAATAAATTACAATACAGAAAAAAGTCATCTGACTTCCAACTAAGCAAAAGATAACTGTAAAATGCAAAACTGAGAGTGAATGCAAAACTGTAACATTTGCCTTAACTTACATTTTTGTCTCCAGGTTTTTTTGTTGTTGTTGGATTGACCTCAAATCGTTATGAGAGCGGGAGTAGGGGTGTACCAATAAGAATATACAACAAAAGTATGAAAGTCGTTAGAACTATGAAAGATAGCGGTGGCAGAAATAAAAAGTATTACATCATGTTAAAGTTTTGCTCGTCACTGTATGTATGTAAATACACAAAAAAAAAAATAATTAAAATATGAATCACTTTAGGCATAAATGCAGAATACCTACAATTCTCAAATTAAACAAATCTGTACGGTGATCGATAGATATCATTGAGGTGAGCGTTGCGGTATATTTTTTTTAGGGGGTAACAACAACTACAACAGATATTAACGGCCAAAGTTCAAGTTAAGCATTTCTTTAAATCCAATTTTTCAAAAACTCTTTCATGGATTTTGAAAATTTGATTAAAAAAACTGGGTTTGTAAACAATTTTTTAAATATATTTTTTACATCTATTCGATTTTTGTGAAAACTATGCAAGGCATATTTAACAGGTTTGTTCCATAATCTCCATGTAGAAAAACTCGAGCAACGTTCAAACTGTGAGCGTATATCAATAAACTCCAAAAGTTACTTGTGGAACGCGTATGTGTAACTCGAAGGAGTGTTTTTGGCTTAAAAATTGCTTATTTTGTACTTTGACCTTTAGTAACTCTTGTAGTTGTAGTAGAGGTGGTCCCATTCTTATTTGGTTTAAATCCGATCATTGGAACATGAAGAGATTAACGATAATCTTAAATTTTTATATGAGAATTGAAGTCGGATTTGTTCTTTGCTTAAAAATTAATTGTTGCTTTTTAATTTGAGAATTGTAGGTATTCTTTATTTGTTCCTTGGTTTATTTTACTGTCAACGTGAATCTACCCATCAAACTTAGAAACGGAATTTATTCTTTTTTTCGGTTATGGGGCTTCCTATTTTTTCAATCCTGTCTTTGGGTGTAAATTAGACGCTTTTGGATAATAAATACTCTTGACGCGAAATGTATAAGTTTGGGATTTTTTGATAACTTTTTTATTCCGAAATTGACATGAAAGAAATTATGTTGCCGATTTATCACCACGGTAATAAACCGGCGAGTCGCCAATTTGTTGCCATTGACGATTGTTGCCTATTTCTCACGTTTTGCATGGTGGGTACGTAAATATTAAAGGGTACTCTTTATTTATTTGTACTACGATTTTGGGTTGTTGTGCCCAAACGCGCGATTCGAATCAAAAAACTTTTACACACTTGTAGACAAGAGCTCGCGCTTAAAAAAAAAGGTGACTTTTCATAAAACGGCGTCCATCCTCTCTCGTTTAGGCGGATATTTTGGGGCCACGCCCTTTCCCCTCCGCCCTCTACCCAAAAATAGTTGCACAAATAAGTAAACATTTCCATTACATACTATGGAATCATACTCACATATAAGGCACTATATGAGTATGATTCCATACATTTCATAATCATTGATTTGCGGGTTTGTAACTTCCAAATAGTCAAAATACAAAGCATTAGCTTTTTCTCTTTCAAGACCGCACCAGAAGCAAGTCTTAACTTGCGCAACCTAGTTGATAACTACATAGCATCTAACCTCGGTTGGGCACATTTGGCATTGCAATATACAATTTAGGAATAAGAGACCGATTCTTTGTATTTTGACGTTTTGGGATGCACCCAATATTTCCGGACCGGTATATACCATGAACCAACTAACGTTCACTAACTAACGTTGGATCATGGGTATATACCGTGGACATTTCTCTACTGAAGCTTATGTTTAAACTTTTCAATTATACACACACTCAGCTCCTCTGATTCGATTCTATGCATTAGATCACTATATTTTCGCTCCTGCATTTTGCAAAACAAATAAATATTTCTTTCGAAAATGGTGAGAAAGTAATAACTCTATACTGTGGTAATAACGCCAAAGAAATAATCATAGTCTGTGTATAATTCTTCGATAGTTAAATCGACTTTACAATCAGTGTTGACAGGTCAGTACTTGCTGAAATCGTCAGTTTGGTTCTCAAAATTCGTCATTTGCATGCAAAAATCGCCAACACATATTACATTTTAATAAACAGAACCAAGAAGCTTTTTTGGAACACATCAAGATAACCAACCGTTCAGCAATGGGAAAACTAAAAATGCAGACCGATAGTGCTTTGTACGCTGATTTTAACTATAAAAATATTATTTGCCGCAATCAAAAAGTAAAGAAGATATAAAAGGTTAAAGAAAATTTTTGCGATATTTTAAAATATTAATATTTTCTAAACTACGTAACCGATTAAAAAAGTAATAATAGCAAAATAAAGACAATTAATCTATCTTTAAGTTGATATATAAAATGTGTTTGCTTGCTTATCTATTTAAGCCAAAAATATTAAAAAGCAAATAAAATGTTATAAGTTTTTCATAAAATAACTATTTTTAGAAAAAAGTGCATAATCAATGCTAAAGATATATATATTATTTAGAAAGTGCCAATTCTTACCTTTAATTCGATATACGTATTTTATTATGATCTACTTTTGAGGTTTAAGAATTCAGTGATAAAAAAAAATTAAAAGCATTTACAAGCAAGTTACAATTGTGGGTGATATAGTTTCTTTTGCCCAGAACGTCTTTCGGCGTAGGCGGCCTTCGGCCGCGCTTAGGGATCATAACCCTTACAAAGTAGAATTCTCCTTTCTGTATTGCCGAAGAAGCGGAGCTGAACACCTTTCTGTGTAGGCGGCCTTCGGCCGCTCTTAAGGATTATAACCCTTACCAAATAGAATTCTCCTTTTGGTGTGCACCAACTGGGGCTACCGCCAGATGTAGCCTTGGGAAAGGATGAGGTAACTAAAATTCCTTTTCAGTGTGGTAAACCTGGGGCTACCGCCCCAGTGATGTCTATTATGGTTACTAGGTGTTTTATAAAAATGTCTTGTATATAAAAATGTCTTGTGCAAATGAATATTTAAAATTTTTCCAGCGAAAAACCGCAAATTGTGAATTTTGGCCATTTTCCTAGGAAACCATAGGGGACCTACGTTGTCGGGGGTTGCATGTATGTCAATGGCGGTTCATTCCCTCTCCAAAAAGGTAGGTTAGAGGTGCCACGTCCACTTACCTTTCGGCCACCGCCCCTTTAACGAACGGCCATAATGGAAAGCCAACCCGTTGAATTAACTACAATATGCATTTGCACATACATGCATTTATATTTTTTATTATCACTGAATTCTGAAAACTCAAAAGCAAATCATGATATATTGGCCCGTAGTCATAGTCAAAATTAAGTCGACTTTAAAGTTAGTTGCAGCTTTTTGACATAATTTTCAATGGGATATCTGTCAAAAAAGCTGCAACTAACTTTAAAGTCGACTTTATTTTGACTATGACTACGGGCCAATATGTATATCAAATTAAAGGTAAAAACTTGCACTTTCTAAATAATTTTTAGTATTGATTATAGACTTTTTCTAAAAAAAGGTTATTTTATGAAAAAATTATGACATTTTTTTGTTTTATAATATTTTTGGCTGAAATATATAAAAAACACATTTTATATATCAGCTTGAAGATAAATTAATTGTCTTTATTTTGATATAATTACCTTTTGAATCGGTTACGCAGTTTAGAAAATATTAATATTTTAAAATATCAAAATTTTTTTGTTTTACCTTTTATATCTACTTTACTTTTTTAATGCGGCAAATAATATTTATATAGTTAAAATCAGCGTAAAAAGTACTAGCAATCTGCATTTTTAGTATTTCTATAGCTGAACGGTTGGTTATCTTGATGTATGCCCAAAAATATGTTTAATTGCAATAAAATCACATTTTCATCTTAATTTTTTTTCAATCTGCAGTAATTCAATCTCATCTCAAGTCACTAAATTTGAGATTAGCAATTAGTGACTATTTTTGTGACTTGAGATTATTTGGCTATTCAGTAGGAGAGAGTCAAAATAAAGTTCACCAAAAATAGGAGAGGTCCTTATCTCCCAGAAATAGTCAGAAAACGTCCGAAGTAGTCAGATTTAGTCCAAAAAGCGTTCCTTGACTCGGATATGACAGCAAAAATGAGAGAACAACACTCAGTGAGAGCGACTCTCATCAGTCCGAAGTAGTCAGATTAACCCTGGCATTCAGTAAGCGGTCTCTAGTCCCAAATAGTGACTTTTGGTGGTGAACTTGGATTATGAGACTATTTGGTATTCAGTACGCTGTCTCACGTCTCTAGTCTTAAAAAAGTCACTAGTTTGTAAGCTGGCTAAGAGCAGGTCTCAAAAATAAAAATATGGAGAAAAAGTTAATTGCTTTCCATTTTATTAAAAAAAACGCGAATATGTAGCGAGGAAATTTGTTCAACAAGAATTTCATCAGGAAATAAACCAAAATGCTTTAATATCATACAAATGTATTGAAAAAATTTATTTTTTTTGTCTTTAAAACATTCGAATCTAAAGATCGTAAAAAAAAATAAAACTAATAAAAAAAATCCTAAATAAAAAAAATAAATAAATAATCCCCTACGGCCGAGGAGGACTTGAACCCGGACCCTCTCGGCTGCCAGCCTAATGCTTTGACCACTCGGCCATTGCGAATCTTTGAGCGGCGCGGGCAAAAGGCATATATAAACACTATCAGTTGATTGGCTGTGTTTGCTTTCACCACACATTTTTGGTGAACTTTTTGTGACTCTCCCCTTCTGAATACCCAAATCATCTCAAGTCACAATAATAGTCACTAATTGCTAATCTCAAATTTAGTGACTTGAGATGACACTGAATTACTGAATCCCGGGGTTAATATGAGTAATGGGCTGTTTTTGCTTACGCGTAAAAGCACATTTAGTGCATTTAGCTCTAAATGCTACTCTAAATGTACATTTATCCATACAAAATTCGTCACCTAAATGCAACTAAATGCAACTCCATTTTTG